GCAAAATAGTATTTTAACAGAAGATTATTTTATATTATTAAAACTCCATGTGAATATCTAGTAAGGATCTGACAAAATCCTTCTGGTAATGTAGCATGGTCCTAACATAATTGTGTCCATTATGGACACCACCTTTCTAGTTTGGATGCTTGATTAAGAACAATGTCAGCAGGACACAAGACATCACTATATGGCCTTGGGTTGTTTTGAGTATGTTTCTGCTCCATGCTTGTATCTTATTTTTGTTCGAACATAATTCAAGTCAATCAACCTATCGCCTTTTAACTTTTAGACGATGCTGTCAAACTTATTAAAAATTAATAATAATGATAAAATAAAATGAATTCAGTAGTAAAGGTACGAAGTTCTAGCCTCATTTCAACAAGATATCAATAAAGGCAAATCTAACGAATTCAAGTCTTGCTATCAATTATTTATGAAAATTATTCACACGTGAATAAAAAATAACTCTAGCCAGTACTAAAAGAGAAGCTATGAACACGTAATCTAAATAAATAAATGGGAAAATGCACTTGTACAGTCATTAAGGGCTGTAAATTGTACAGTCCGCTTACATGAATGTGGGGCCCACACTAATTTATCTAATCTTATCCAATAAAACTTTTAAACAGGGCGGATCAATAAATTCTATGCAGGGTTATGTCATATAGTGAATCTAATGGAACATTGATATGGTGGTTTGGTCTGATCAACCAAGATTGCGTCAACAATTCTGAATGGGATGCGTCAATTCGAACCACAGAACATCAGCAAAGGGCTTCCAACAAATTTTTACATGTAAACAATCAGAACATGGTACTATTGCACTCCCAAAACGTAGTTCCAAATCGCGTATCAATATTACTCGGATAAAACGTGTATTATAAGCAAGCCTCATAAGAAGCTTTACACTTTGCAATACCGGCAACACTTATTGTCGATAAAAAGTAAAAGTGTAACATAAGCAATGTATGCCGACTTCAAGGAGTAGAAGAGCTAGATACATCTGCTACATCCCACAAAAAGCAATAAAAATTTGCTGCATACCTCTAAAGGGGGGAAGCAATGGCTCCTATTCTTATTGGAGCTTCTGATAAGCCATGCGTATATAACCAACCATGTTAAATTTTAGCGTCTTCATCTGAAAGAATACTAACTTTTTCCCGAAACATCCACACTTGTTCTATAAAGTATGGTCCTCCATCTAGCAAGAATGCCGGCATCAAATGAATGTGAGAATCTGAGAACTTGGTCTGATGCATACTTCAAGTAACTTACACGTCGACTGTTGGATAAAAGCCTGGAACAGAATTTCGTCCCCCACCATTAAAATCTGCATTTCCGTAAAATGGTGAGTGTAACTCACCAGAATGTGATGACTTGCGGGATTTGAGATTTTTGGACTGAGAAGTATAAAATTCTGTTGAACCACTGGTAGTAGAATACATAGATGAGGTTGGAAGCCCATGGACTTTTGGCAGGCCCGTTGGATCAGTACTTAAGTTGTAGCCCCTCTCAATTGTATCAGCTTCAAGCGGTAGTTCATCCAATGTCTACATACAAAAGTAGACAGATAATTTAAGTTGTCTTTGGGACTCAGAAGAAGAATTTGACGTAAGAGGATATTCAGGGCTAGAAAAACACAAATTCAAGACAAGTCCTTTTGGGAAAGAAGAAAACAATAAGGAAGAAAATCAGTGGTGTTCAACGACCAAAAAGCATTTGGGTGCTTAATAAAAATAACTTCTGCCCACCAAAGATATCCAAAATTACATTTTCACAAGCCAATCGTGGAAGATGTCTATGCTTGTGTACTTTCGTCCCCATCAGTTAAATCAAGGTCAGAGTGAAATAAATAATTACCAGAGCAAGTCTCAATGAATTATCTTCTAAAAAAGAAAACTACTACTTTGTGATTAGCCATGCTGATATCCACATTAAAAGCTTGTTTGGCACAGATTTTTCCAAAGGAAAAATGATTTTTTTTGGAGAATGTGTGGTTAAAAATGGGGCAAAGTTGTGGGTTCCATAATATGTGTGGCTGAAAATGATATTAGAAAAATCTGTGACAAACAAACCATATATATGCACATCCAGATTCCTGAAAGAACCAGACAATGGTGCTCACTAATATACAAGTTTAAAAAATTAGACAAAAAATGACAAAGCGCTTCTATGTATCTGAAGAATCAAGCACTTACCCGGAAAGCTTGCTGTAGAACCCGAAGGGTTTCTCGAGTACGCTTTCTTTTCATAGCTACCTCGTCAGGTTCCTGTAACATCTCTTCAAACAAGTTGTCCCTGCTCCATACATAACATTAACATGTGAGCATAACAATTTTTGTAAATGACAAATGTAACATATACTTTATTACAGTCAACTGAACCAATTACTAGTCAAGATTGAAGTACGAAAAGGCCACAAGCTGATCTCCTCTTTTGTACCCACCAAGATGCAAGTACTATTTTGAAGTTCCATTTGGGTATCCCATGGACCAAACTAATAAATTCTTAAAATAGAATATACCTGTAAAGCTTTTTGATGAAAACATTGTGGAGCTCCCGTTTAGTGTGATTTACCTGGAAGATGGATAAAAACATGAAAAGGTAAAAAATAAAAAACGATGGCACTCATAAAAAGATATTTGAACAATTGAGATAGAAAATGGCACAGAAAGGCATATTATTATTCATGAAGAGACAACAATGATAGGCAAACCACAAAAGTATTGTAGATAGCTTGACATCTGCAAATGCAGAAATCAGACGGCAGGCATTTTCAGGTACATATCCAAGACAAATAATCAAATTCTCTTATGAAAAATAAAAAGGCTGTCTGCTAAAAAAAACATTTATTCCAAATTGAAACAGCGTATTGGTGAATTAATAAAATATTTTTTTAAAAACTGAACTATAATGATTTTATATACTACCAATCCACTTTCAAACAATAAATACCTACTTCCTACTTTATTTTTCTTTTTTTTTGGGTGGAGTAGGGGGATTTCACCTAATGTGAATAGTAAAGGTTATGGTGGTTAAATCCATGGCGAAAAATTTAAAAGATCGCAAAACAAGAGAAGGAAGTCAAAAAGTTCATGTAAAACAATAACCAATTACCAGAAAATGCATAATTGCTTTAGGTACAGAATCTTCAATGTTCTTCCGAACAATGTCATAATATGACCTCAATAAAAGCTTGGTAATAGCAATCTCAATAGCATCCTCTGAATGAGTTTCTGAAGGCCTCAAGACAGCAGGGGGCTTCAAGAAAAACAGTACAGAACTTGTTAGCCCATTAATAAAGACAAAATCTCAATGACCAAATCGAACAAATATTCTGGAGAGGATACCCCATGAACATACCTCTCTCAGATGAATGACAGACAAACTATGCTCCATGCTCTGAACAGGTTCACTAAATGGCTTGCTAGTCGAATTCTCTTTAACAGATGTGCGATTATCATAGCCGCCAAATATTGATGATATTCCCCAGGTTGAACTAGTGCTGTTTACTGGTTAAGCATAAAATATTGCATCGTTTAGTCTTCATGATAGTTATTGCCAGTAAGTGATTCCTAGAGAACCAAGTTGGCCCCAAAGGAGGGGATGGGGTGGCCATAGCCAGCTCAGCCAAACGGGAAAGAATCAAACAACAACAAACTAAGCTTTATTCCCAATATATTTGGGATTTTTTTCTCTAACAAACATAAAAAGAAAAATTACCAGGCGGTGCAGTTTTCTCGACATCTGCAGCAGGTCGAACACCTTGTTTGTCATGCAAAGACTGAAAATACAGTTAGCATTACCAGAAAAAATTCAAAATTTTTATTTAGAAAGTTAACAACACTAAAGGACAAAGAAGATATGTGGGTTCCCAGGAGGGTCCAGTGCCAATAGAAAGCTTACCTGCTCTGGAACTATTCCATTCACAGGCCTGGCAAGAATAGCACGAGATTTCAGACTTCTCTCAGAATTGGGTGCTTTGTCTGAATCTCCTGTATCCTAATTGAGAAATGCAAATCATGAATTAATTTATGCAATCCTCTTAAGCAAACAGATAGCAAATAGGTCGGTACAGAAAAGTAAATACTTACTTTCTGCCTGGGAATCACTGCAGCAACCCTGGAGGACTTGATCTGTTGTAGTGCCATTTCTACAGCTTTACTCCCACCAATAAAATTGGGATGAGAAGTGTTTATGTAATCCATCTACAGAAGAAAGAAACAAAGCACAATAATTAGATAAAGTTATCTATAAATTACGTTTTTAAAAGCAAAAAAAAAAAAAACCCTTACAACAAAAAAAAAAA